TTCCTCACTCTCTCTCCCCCTCTCCCTCTCTCTAACACACACACATATCCATCTTATTGGGTACCGGACCATAATTCATCTATTTCACACATACATGCTAGTGCATAACAATATGGATTATGTGTATTATATTTGTCACCAGAATTGAGGGAATTAACTTTAAGAGTTCAATATTCTGACCATGGGATATTTAGGGCCTGTTCGGTAGCTTGCTGGCTCCCAGCTTCTGCAAATATCCGAGCGGAGCTAGCCCGAACGGCCCAGCTCCAAGAAGCTGGCTTCCTGGAGCGGAGCGGCTCGCACTTACAAAAAATCGGAGCGACGGTTTCGGCGATCTCAGAAATCAGGAATTTGGAGTTGTCTTTATTTACGAGCAACTGCCACCGCGAAGTGAATCGAGGGGGTCACGTACCGGTTCGCTACTTCTATCTCCCCTGTTCTCGTGTATTCGCCTGGGCCTAAGGCCACCTTACCTGTTGAGCCGGCTGGGCTCCAGCCCACCTAGCCAGGTTGGCCTGCTAACACGTACGAGAAGCTGGAGCTAGGGGCCGAACGAATTTCTAAGCGCTAGCGCTCGCGCCTGAAGCTGGCGATCCAAAAACGAAGCTGGATTTGTGGATTTATTGGAGTTGGAGAGCTGCCGAACAGGCCCTTAGGCTAGCGTATATGGGAAATCAAAGCTAAAAATGACTCGATGAGTTAGGGATACATCAATAAATATTGTAAAAAGTGATAAAAACAAATTTGCAGCAACTCGCGACCCCACGAACTCGTATTCGCATTGAGCAAGTTAGTGAGGCCGCCACGGTAGGCTAGCACCAAGGGACAAGGGCAACAACCGCCTTCCCATCCAACCTACTGATTCTACTGGCGCTACCTTCGTCCTAAGCCCATGAGTACCGCTAGTGTGTTGCCACGTACGGAGAAACTACGAACTGAAATTTTCATCCAAATCATGAAAAATGTTAATGTTCCTCTCCTCTCCCATCCCTCATGTGAACATACCCAATTCGTGGTTGGCTCGCTACATTCAGCGTAGCTCTGATGTGCACTGCCCTCACTCTTGATTAGTTGCCGCAGTGCCACGCATCTACGCCAACAAGCTGGGGAAACAAATGCAAATGTTACACCGAGTCAAAATCAACCATCCCACAATCGTAACAATAGGAAAGATAATAACCAAAATTTAACAGAAGAACTACTGCTTGGCTCCCAGATCCATCTCGATAGCCCTTGATCTGGCTGCTGAGCTTCTCCTAGCCGCCTCAACATCACGTCATTACCAAACATGTAGTGGATGCCTAGTGGGACAAGGATTAAGAAATAACATGAGGTGAAAAATACGATGGCTGTCAATTCCATAAGACGACCCAAGTAATTTGACAAAACAGATTGGGAGCATCTTGTATAATCTCAAAAAAGCAACTAAAAATATGAGAAATGAATTGATGAAAATCAGCCCCTGCTCTCATTCATGCTTGCTTTTGTAATGGGAGGCAAGGAATGGGGATACCGGGAGAAGAAAGGAGCACATGGATGGCAAGCCTCCACCACCGGCAAGTGGGGTTGCTTCACATCCAATCTCCACGGCCGCCGCCTCCATGGGGACGAACTCCCATGTTCACAACCGGGCTCCCAATCGGCCGCTGCCTCACCGACCTTGACGACGAAGTAGTCCCTCCCTTCGATCCCATTCACAACGGAGGCAACACCCATCCCAGCGGACGGGTCCGCGGTGAGATCCCTAGTGGATTGTGGTCGCGCCTCCCCAAACCTCACCGCGGGACACATGAGAGGGCGCCGTTACCATGGTCAGGCTTGGATGGGGAAAGAAGGCGACATAGCAGCAACGACGCCTTCGCCGGGATTGGTGGCGACGGCGGCGGCGAGCGAGCGGGAGGACGGCGGCGGCGAGAGAGTAGGAGGGTGGTGGTGACAGTCCATCGGCCGCCGTGACGTGAGAGGAGGATGGGGATGGGGCTGCGATCTGGACGTATGGAGCGGTCGAGAGGAGGGGAAGCAGGCGGCTGGGTTTTTCCATCGTGCGGGGTTTTGGGGAGGTCAACGAGAGGGGTTTTTTCGTGCGGGAGGCAGAGCAACGAGGGCGAACGTAGGGAGACAAGACGCGGTCGGTTGGCAGGAAAAGGAAAGCTACACATTTTTTAGGCAGTAGAGATGGTTGATGATAAGAAAGGGAAAATCACATCAATATAAGGAAATATCCCATCAATACTTGATTGATTGTGATTTATTTTTTATATGGTAACTAATCTGATGGGTTTATGTGGGTGGTCCATCAATACTTGATTGATTGTGATTTATTTTTTATATGGTAACTAATCTGATGGGTTTATGTGGGTGGTGAAGCGAAAAGGTAGGTGGGAGGGAGACGAAATAAAACCAGCGAAATAAAACCAATGAAAGTGGTGAGACGAAAAAAAACCAGCGAAAAATAACCGACGGACTATTCACCAACTGCTCCATTAGAAGTAGAGATAACAAAACAACACAAAGCCTAAACTTAACCATATCATTGGCAAATACGAATGCTATATAGATTGATGATTAGTTGCTATTCCAATATTATAATACTCCACTATGGCCTTACTAATGCTGGTTTTTGGTATTATCATTGTGAAGATGCTAATTTCTTTTATGGAAAGACACAACTAGCATATTTGCTATTAATAACCAGACTTCCTTTCCATCAAATTCCCCTAATCCTCCCCCTGTCCCCCAAATGTGATGATAAGAAGAAGGCAAAGAAAAAATATTATGGCAGTGAGAGTGGTGGGTAGGTCTAATCGGTGAAGAGGGCTACATGGCAACTCACAAGTGGAATGTGTGGCGGTGGTATGGTGCAGCGGTTGCTACAATGATAGGTTGTGTCGAGACATGGAGGCGAGGAGTTATTGCTGGGGCCGTCAACGGTGGTGTCCTTAACATCATTTCCACATCTTGAAGGCGCCATTGCAACCTTTCATTCTCCTTGGCACACTAGGTCAAAACCCCCAAATCTAGTTCAAATCGAGCGATGACAATGCTTTGGCATCATGCTCGTCATAAATGCGCCATCTCGAGGTCCACTGTCTCTCTACTACTCTTGGCGATGGCAGCGCTGGCGAGGTCTCGCGCGATAGGGTGCTCACCTTGATCTGATGGAGATTCATCAACTTGGCGACTTGAGCTTTCGGTGGCCCTCGCCTTTCGTGGACGGTGCTCCCAATCATTGTGGAAGGGGGTCCCTTGATGAAGGAGTTTGATGGTGGTTTAAACATTCTCCGCAAATCTCGGCTGTGCTTACTCCTCTTGCCAACGGCTTGGGTTCTTTAGATGTTAGCTTTGTTGTTCCGCATGGCTTATTGACTTGGTTTGCATTTTGATTCTACTTACTCTAGCGCTTAGTTGGTCCGATCTTGTGCACGCGCTCATGTGTATGTGAGCTTGCCTCGTAAGCTAGTTTGACACTTTGTACCTTTTTTGACACTTTGTATCTTTTGACGTTCAAGGTACCGTTAATTAAACTCTTAAAGGTGAAGAAGATGAAGCTATATTTATCCTTTCCATGAACTGTTAACAGAATATGCAGATTATTACGACCGTGTGTATGCGTTGATTCAACACTTTGTATCTTTCGATGTTCAAGGTATAATTAATTAAACCCTTAAATGCGAAGAAGATGAAGGTATATTTATTCTCTCCGTGAACCGTTAATCGAAATGTGCAGATTATTACGGTGCACGTGCGTGCGATTGGCGCCAAATAACGGTCGGCATCACGAAAATCCAAGCCCCCAACACACAGACAACTTTTGGTTTCAACTCTCAATATTAAAACCGCACGATCATGCTAATCCAGACCCATAATGCATTGATGATTGACTCCCAAGCCTATGAATCTAGACACACATGACACCAATAAACAACTTGCCACAAGAGAGTGAAAGCAAGACAAAGAGCATACTCCCAAACTAATTTGCCTCCAAAGACATACTAGTAGTTTTTTTTCCTGCAATGGCATACCAGTAATTATAACAACAAGAGTGACAGGGCAAACATCAAACCAAAGCCAAACCACATGATTAGCAAACATGTAAATAGGGTGATGATATTCCACCAATGGGTTTGTCATTGCCATTGTCATTGTCATTGTCATTGTCAAGATGCTATAATTGCTTTTGTGGAAAGAGGATGATGACACTAATAAACTACTCCTAACCGGGCTCCCTTTCCATCTGCTCCTAACCCCCCCTCCCCTATCACAGGTGGGCCCGGCCCGCCCGGCCCGGGCCCACCACCAACGGAACCAAACAACAACTCCGTGAGCTCCCTCCCCCTCCCCTCCTCTCCACCCCCCTCCCCGAAGGAACGCCGCGAGCTGCTGGTGGGAGCTGCCGACCTCGCCGCGCCGCCGGCGACGCGCCCGTCCCCTCCCTCCGCCGCCGCAGCCCCTCCGCTCCGGTGAGTGCCCTCCTTCCCCTCCGCCCCTCCCCCGTCCTCATCCCCACGCAGTGGCTCCGGGGGCGCTGCCTCGGGCGAGCGAGCGGGCCATCTCCAGCGCGCGCGCCGGGCGCCGATCCGCGCGCCCCAGGCCGCCGGCCGGGCGGCCGAGCGGGCCCTTGCTCGGGAGGGAGCTGCCGAGCCGGGCGGGCGGGGTTCCCGCGGGGTTCGCGCCGGCAATTTTGAATTTCGTGGCGGTTTCCCAGGACCGCCGCCGCGCGCCGCCCGGAATCTTCGGGATTTCTGCTAGGTTTTTCCGAGGCGGTTTCCGTGGCGTTCGGGTGCTAAAGCTTGCCTTTTTCCCCCCTGCTCTTCTTCCTCCTCGTCGCAGATTCAGTCGCCCGGCGACCGGCCCACGGCCGCGGAGGAGCGGCGCTGAGCGAGGCCGCGAGATTCGGGGTCCTGCCAGCGGCGGGGGAGCTCTCCGGGGGCGATTCGGAGCAGGCCGGCCTCGTCGGACTCCGGCGGGGATTTGGCGGCGGGGGATTCCACTGTGTAGGAATGGCCGCTGGCGGCGCCGCCGACGGCAAGTACAACTTGTACAAGGCGCCGGGGCTGCGGGGCGCGATACTGGAGGCGGCGCACGCCTCGTGCCTCGGCGACCGGTACGCGCTGGGCAAGCAGCTCGGGTGGGGCCAGTTCGGGGTCATCCGGTCCTGCTCCGACATGGTCACCGGCGAGGCGCTGGCCTGCAAGTCCATCGCCAAGGACCGGCTCACGTCCCCCGACGACGTGCGGGGGGTCCGGCTCGAGATCGAGGTCATGGCGCGCCTCTCGGGCCACCCCAACGTCGTCGACCTCAAGGCCGTGTACGAGGACCAGGACTCGGTGCACCTCGTCATGGAGCTCTGCGCCGGCGGGGAGCTCTTCCACCGCCTCCAGGAGCGCGGCTGCTTCCCGGAGCACGAGGCCGCCGCGCTCTTCAGGTACCTCATGGAGGTCGTCGCGCACTGCCACAGCAAGGGGATCGTGCACCGGGACCTCAAGCCCGAGAACATCCTCCTCGTCAGCAGGTCGCCCTCCTCGCCCATCAAGCTCGCCGACTTTGGCCTCGCCACCTACACCCAGCCTGGTACAGTTGATTGACAGCCTGATCACCCCTGCTCTGTGGCTGCAACTTGTCAAGATTGTTGGTCTTTTTGGAAGCTAAATTGGGGGTTTGGATTTTGTCAGGTCAAAGACTGAGCGGCACGGTGGGGAGCCCGTTTTACATCGCGCCGGAGGTGCTCGCCGGCGGGTACAACGAGGCTGCCGACGTGTGGAGCGCCGGGGTTATACTCTACATCCTTCTCAGTGGCATCCCGCCGTTCTGGGGGAAGACCAAGTCGAAGATCTTCGAGTGTATCAGGTCGACGGAGCTGCGGTTCCCTTCCGATCCCTGGGACAGGGTTTCGGATTCGGCCAAGGAGCTCATCACCGGCATGCTGCAGCGTGATCCTGGACAGAGGCTCACGGCCGAGCAAGTTCTAGGTGAGACATGACATCATCTTGTTGGGAAACCACATGCTCAGAATTCCATTCCTTTCTACCATATCATTAGCATCATACACAAGGTTAGAAGAGACCTTTGATTCTTGATGATTAGTAGTGTCTATACCTTCATGTAACTGAGCTGTTGATCAGAATGTAGAGATCAATCAGAATTCGGTTGTTTCGTATGCAATTGTTTGCTTAAAGCTGTTTTGAATAAATTATCAAGTCTTCACTGCTAAGTCATGAGCTAGCGCCAGCTAAAGGTTCAGTGTTAGGGTCATGTTCTGGATTTCTGGTAGAACCACCATGGTACAAATAAACAAGTCTGAATCTTTGCTGGCCCTTCAATGTTTCTTTTGATAAATCACATCCACATGGCTGCTTATTTATTAGTGTTGATGATTCATCATCTCTGTCACCCTTGATGGAATCTTTTGAATTTGGCTGTCATTGCTTCATTTCCAGACCTTACTGTGTAGTAGTACAGATCAGCTGTTAATGGTTCCCTTTCTCCTGATGGTAGTAGTTTACAGTTGTTCACCATGTGGGGTTTATTGCCTAAGCAACTGCTCTTTGTGCAGAGCATTCCTGGATACGGGAACACGCCGATGATTCGCGCGATTCCTGCTGCGGTTGCCTTGAGATCGGCCTCGGGAGGGAGGAGCCAGGCTCGTGCTCATTCTCCACGCCGATGGCGACACGCAGCCGCGACGTGAGCTTCAGCACCGGCGGGCCGATCGCCTGCCAGGGTCTGTCGGAGGAACCCTGCTCTCCCACATTCTCCTGCAGATCGTCCTTCTCCGCGTTCTCCGCCGCCAGGGCTCCAGCTCCGTCTTGCGGAGCCTTGTTATTCTCATTCGGCGACAGCCCCGAACCCATGAAGGACGCTGCGCCCATCACGTCGATGCCGAGCTTCTCGTTCTTCTGCGGGCTAGGGTCCGACAAGCCCGAGCCACCGGCGGCTTCAGGCGACGACACCACGAAGGAGAAGGAAGCTCATTGTGTCGAAGACGCCACGGCGGTGGGCCTCACCGCCGCCTCCTCCTCGGCTCTGACGAGGATGGCGGAGGCGGCCCTGAGAGGGGCGACGGCGACGACGAGGGCGAACCCGTCGTCGCGCAGCAGCAGGCGGAACCACACCATCGGCGCCGGCGAGCGGGAGCACCAGCACGACCTGGACATGGCGGTCGCCGAGTCGGTGATCCGGTGGGCGTCGTGCACCCACCTGTCCACCACCCTCTCCCTCCGTGCCTCGCTCGTGTGCTAGGCGTCGGCCCTCCACCGGCGCCCGCCATGCGAGCGCTCAGAGTTTGTTCCTGTAGCCTGCCTGTCTCTATGCTTGCACTGCGACGCAAGCCGGCGAAGTGAGATGAGATGAGACGAGACGAGAAGAGATTAGAGCTGAGTGTGTCACTGTCACTGGTTGTAGAACGAATGTAACCTGGACATGATGATATATCTATATATTGTTATAGACTCAATAGTAGATCGCCGAGTGTTTGTTGCTGGTGCCAAGTGATGATGGTGTGAAATCTGCGTTTCGAATTCACGAATTTAGCGCGAAACTGGTCGATTTACGGACGGAGAAATCGCGGGGCGAAAACCGTGTTTTTCGAGCCTCCGCGGCTGGAGAATTTGTTGTTGAAATTTGGAGAGGATTTGGCCAGAAATTTGAACGGTTTCTTGTATTGCTTTCCTTTTCCTTCAAAGAAGTTCAGACGACAGCTTCCAAAGCTGAAACTTGCTCTGCCTCGGTCGCGCATTTCGTCGAACACCATGCCGTCGTCCGCCGCCGCCCCGTCCGACGACGACGGCAAGCTCCAGCGCTTCCTGCAATGGCTCCAGGTCGCGCCCTCTCCCTCCCGTCCCTTGCCCCCCGGTTCCCGTGCTCTCCTAAACCTCGCCCCCCTTCCTTTCCGCCGCAGGCCAACGGCGCCGACCTCCGCGGCTGCGCGATCCGGGCCTGCGGCCGCAAGGGTTTCGGCGTCTACGCCACCGCCGCCGCCGCCGACGGTAACCGTTGCTCTTCTCCCCCTCCCGGAGATGGCGGTGCGGGGGTGGTGATGGCGGTGCCGCTGGACCTGGCCGTGACCCCGATGCGGGTGCTGCAGGACCCGCTCGTCGGCCCGCGGTGCCGCGCGCTCTTCGAGGACGGCGGCGTCGACGACCGCCTCCTCGTCATGCTCTTCCTCATGGCCGAGCGCCTCCGCCCCACCTCCCTCTGGAAGCCGTAGGCTCACTCACGCCTTCTTCCCCCCCCTGCTCTCAACTCTGAACTCTGAAACCACTGTTAACCTTTGGGGATTCTGCTCGTTGCGCCTGCAGGTACTTGGATGTGCTCCCGAGCACCTTCGGGAGCTCCGTGTGGTTCGACGACCAGGAGCTCGCCGAGGTGGAAGGGACGACGCTGCACCGCGCCACGGTCATGCAGGTTCGTCAGCTGCAAACTGCCGTTTTCGCTACTTTGCTGGATTGGGCACTGGGAGAGTAGTACATTGGTGGAGATGAACATAATGGGGGCTTTTGTTTCAGAGAAAATCGTTACAGAAGTTATTCGATGACAAGGTGAAAGGTCTGGTCGAGGAGCTTCTGCATGTCGACGAATCGGGAAGGTTGGTTGAGATTTTGCTCCGTATTGGCTCTTTACCAAACACACGCACACATAGTTCCTTTATTGTCTCAAAGGAATGCTTTTGTGCTGTGGTTTTGCTGTACAAGGGATTGCACCCTTTTCATCTATATATATGAACCTCATACCTGTCAAATGTTTTATTTTGCAGCTCAATTGAAGTGCGGTTTGAGGACTTCCTTTGGTATGCGTATCACCATTTGTATTTATAGTATTAACGGAAGTATATAAATTTTACTTGATATCATTTTGCCAGCATGGTTTCCCATGCTAATATGTGGAAGGTCCTAATTAGGTGAAAACTTGGTTATCAAGGAATCTGTACTTAATTAAAGCAATGGTTTCAACAGCGAATCCTTCCCTCGAAATCTGATTGTTTAACAGCTTGGACTTCCGAAATGAGGCCTTTAATTATCTGCAGGTTTATTTACTCTCTTTTTCTCCCTACGCTAATCAGTAGTAAGAGTTTATGACAGGGCAAACTCAATTTTCTGGACTCGAGCGCTGAACATCCCGTTGCCTCATTCTTACGTTTTTCCTGGCTCACTTGATGAGCAACAGAACAGTACTGGGGAAGTTTTGGCTGATTCTAGTCTCACCAACCAACAGGTTAGTTTGAATCTTCCCGAACAGAGCATGCTAGCAACTCAAGTTTAATCCTAAGTCTTCATTCTCGCATTATATGTAAATTTCTTTTTCTATCTTATACCGCTGGTTCTGGATTCTTTTCTTATGCATGGACCTTTGTGTAATATGACTAAGCGTTAGTGGAACTAGTTAACAAATGTTTAACCACAAAGAAAAGAACCTTAGCTTCTATTATTATTACTGTCAAGTATAAATTATTTAATGGGGTAACTGGTGAATAGTCATCCTTAACTGCAACTTATATGACCGGCACATCCTTGAATTAACAATTAGTGGCGTTTGTTTGTGCTGCATAAATAATAATCATTTTAAGTTTTAACCTCTTTCGAAGGGCACAGCGAAAACTGCAGGTTTAGAACACAGTGATTTTATCTGTAAGGCCTAGAGAACTGAAGCTGATGAAATAATGGTTTCCTGTAGCTGCTGGAATAGCGGGCATCCATATACTGGTTATTACAGAAACCATGCCTAATAGGTCAGCTTGTAACATAGTCTAACTATCAAGGACTAAAATGGACTTAAATAGTCACGCAAGGGCTAAATAATACTCCCTCCGTTCACAAATATAAGATGTTCTAACTTTTCTCTAAATCGGATGTATATAGACACGTTTTAGTGTGTTTATTCACTCATTTCAGTCTGTATGTAGTCATATTGAAATATCCAAAACATCTTCTTTTTGTGAACGGAGGTAGTAGTACATTAATAGTCCTATAATATAGCAATACTTGGAAGAACTTCTTGATGATTGATGAGAGCTAGGGCCAGTCATTGTTTATAATTATGGCTTATGATATCTTATTTTTATTTATTCCAATAAGCTAATAGATATCTTCATCTACAACATAACACTTGGTGTTTATTTGCAGGAAACTGACATTACAACGAAGAATTGTAGTGGTGACGAGATTCCTGAATCTTGTAATACAGAGTCAATTTGGGTTGAGGGACTCGTGCCAGGAATCGATTTCTGTAACCATAGTAAGAGTCCAAAGTAAAGTACATGAATGATCTAAATTTAAGTCAGTTGGCATGACATATTGGAGGATACCCATAAGAAACACTTCAGTGTGTGTTTGCCAAGAGTTACATGAATTTTACTAGTGAAGAAAGTCAAGCTTTCTCTGTTAAATAAGTATTGATCTTTCCCCATTCTAAGATATGCTTGATTGTCCACTCTAGATATAAAGGCTCTGGCGACATGGGAAGTTGATTCGGTGGGAAATTTAACAGGAATTCCTGCTTCAATGTACCTCATGCTGGGTAATTATGCTGATCCAAATTTTGTATCTCATAGTTCTTCATTTAAGCTTTTTTCCGAACTTATTTGTTAGTAGATTGTAGTTCCCACTATGGTCATGTCTATTCTTTGTGGAGGCAAATTGCTCAGTAACATCACAGGGATCATGCCAGTTTAAAAACAGCATCAGTGTGTTGTGTGTCACTGGCTCACTTACAAGTGGCCCAGGGACCATTTGCCAGCCTCACATTAAATGGTGTTTTTCCAATTTATACAGTTTTGCAATGTGTCACTGATCTAACTTCCTTATATTCGTTTCTTTCTGAAGTGCAAGCTGGTAAAAGCTCTGTTGAGACTGGGACAGAGATCTACATAAATTATGGCAACAAAGGAAATGAGGTACTTATACAATCACTAATAAATCTAGCCTTTGTTTTACAGGTTTTGAGACTTTAGAGTTGACTTTATTAAGGTGTGAAATAAGATGTGATGTAATGAAAACAGGGATAACATGTGATATCAAAGCATGAACTAACACTAGATCTAAGGGTATAAACCACCAGGACAGCCAAATATTGTCCTATATAATATTGTTTCCTTTCGTTCTCTTTATATAACAATCCTTCCCTTTTGATCATATTTGATGGAGTTAGTATTTATCACCTGTCTTCAGACTTGTTCATCATCGTTTAGCTAGTACACGTCATGGTGCATTTTTTCTAGAACGGTAAAAGTTCTCACATGTAGTTTCTTTAGAGTTGCACACACAGTTACACGCCTGATGAATAATCTAGAGAAGAATTATCATGGAACTGAGGCCTGACAGCTTGCATAATGCAAGGATAAATGTTTGAATGGGGCGAGGGAGGTACACACACTCCAGTCCACGGGCTCCATATCCATTTTGTTTTGTCTATTGGATCTGTGATTTTCTACATGGATCCACAGATCCTTATGGATTTACTTTTGATACATATATGCTAGTTTAAGAGTGCATATTGACTCTAGAGTTTCAGGGTACCTAAAACAGGGAGATACTTTTCTATCTCATTGGTGAATGACAAGTTGCACTAACATCATGTTTGTTATCAAGAAACTATAGTGTGTTTCATGATTTACTCTCTATGGGTGGGTTTAAAACAACATGCAGTCATTAAAGATACCAGCAAAGTCGCCATGATGTATGTATGGTTATCAGAATAAAATTACTGATGAAATGTATTTTGTGTTTACCAACAGGAATTGCTGTACCTATATGGATTTGTGGTTGACAATAATCCAGATGATTATCTCATGGTAACCCTCACATTGATGTATGCCCGAAAAGTTTGTAATAAGATTTGTAGGATATATATTTGGCAAATTTCATTTTCTGGTTAACGTATAGATTGCATGCTAAATGTGAACCCATTAAAGTGACCGATTGCAACGAAACAAAAAGAACCGGCTGATACTAAAAGGAGGAACAGGAAAGTCATTATTCACTGCAATTTTAGAATTAGGAGTTAAAGTTTGATAAATGGTACATCAATGCCTTCAGCGTATTCTAATTTTGATAATAGATCAATACCTTTTTAAGAACCTCTTATAGCATACTTATGTAAGAAGTCACTGTTTATCCTCTGATGTCCTTGCTTTAACTGCAGGTTCATTATCCAATAGAAGCTCTTAGACAGCTTCAGTCTGCTGACGTTAAGATGAAGCTAATTGAGATGCAGGTACAAATATGTGTTTATCTTTTCTTTTAACTTACACAAAGTGTTTATGTTTATCTTGTATGGCTTCAACTATGTTCTGTTTAGATGAACTTACCCAACACAAAGTTTTCTGGAATTGAGTTGAAATTTGATTGCACTTATTATCTATACCCTGCCGCCTTTGGTTTCTCTTGTATGGAGTATTTGATATTTACTGAGTGGCTCAAGTTTTCTTTTTTATTTAGAAAAACATGGTTCGAGATTGTGATGACTTTTCTAATGAATTCAACCCATCTGAGCATCTGTTGCCACTTGCCACCATGGCTCTCACTTTGTATGTATTTAATGTTTGCAGAAGGCTGAATTGAGATGTCTTCTACCTACAAGTTTGCTTGATAGGGGATTTTTCGGAACCAGTACCAGTTCTGGTGAAGATGATGATAACAAGAAAAAGCATTTTTCTAGTTACAGTTGGAGCGGTCAACGCAAAGTTCCATCATATCTCCAAAAAAATGTTTTCCCTCAAGAATTTTTAAGTACTCTTCGCACAATTGCCATGCAAGAACATGAACTTGAACAGGTTGCTTCCCTGCTTGGAGAGGTTGGTGTTTTTCTTTCACATACTGTATTCTGAAGTATAAACAGCGTGGGTTGACTCCTAGATGACAAACTGGGTACTCTGAAAACAGAAGATGTCAAGCGAGTATTAGCTTCATATTTTAGGCATCATGCTACATTACCAACTGCTGGGTGAGATGGTGAGCTCCTTATATTTCTGTTTGGAGTAGCTTTACTATCTATCATTATTGGTGTTAAAAAAATACCATAAAAAACATCGTTGTAGACCATCTGGTTAACCTGTTAACAAGAGTGCCTGCTATAAAGACACACAGTTAAACCTGTGTATTCTCCCTTTTTTGAAAGAGTTGTTCATGGAGGAACGGCGCCCTAGTTTCTTAGCAATTTGCTTCGTTTGCTCATCTAACTCATTTTGAATTAGAATTTTGTTCTTAACATTATGACATATGCCTTTTTTCTTTTTAAAAAAAGAGTGAGTCAAGAACCATTTTAGTATGCATTGCATCTGGGCTTGAAGGACAGTAAGTGTTGTCTTTTTGTGATGATCTGGTTTTGAGACCCTTCTTTGAACTTGCTCTTACTAGGTTGGGTCTACTGAGGATGGAGAACCATCTGATGCAGAGATCAAAAGTGCTATATGGGAGGTGTGCGGTGATAATGGAGCACTAGGATTGCTTGTGGATCTTCTTAGGGTGAAGTAATACAAACAACATGACTCCATTTTCCTCCTCCTTCGTGCACCATGCACTTGTTATATTTGATATAGCCCTGTCAAGTGTGAACAGTTAGTTGATCAATCCTTTCATTTTGCAAGAATGGCTGAACTTGAAGAAGGCACTGGAACAGAAGCATCTGACAGTCAACTGCTGGAGAAATTTGATTCAAATGATCCAGACGACTCCTCAAGGTAGATTTTTTTATGTTGCTGGGAAGATGCCTGTTTTTCTTTCCAACGCTTACTCTTATTGTATAGATCTTAACATAATATAGTTCTCCAAATTTACTTCTGGGCACTAGCAACAGTGACTATTTTAAGAGCCACAGTAAGCAATGTGTTCTTGTGGGGAAAACACTCGATTGCCACAGCGTCAACGTGAGCAATGTAGCTGATATTGCTGGAATGTCGCCTGATATTTTCATCGCCCTGGGATAATAGAAATATGTTTCATTTGTTACATCAATCTGTTCAATTGCACTTAAACAAGTCTGTGTAACTGTATTATGCAATGAACAAAGTGATCTTTGACTCAAAACAAAACAATATACCCTGGTTCTGGATCTTAGCTAGAGCACATATTTTGTCAGCATTGCACTTAATAAATCTGCCACGGCGTCGATGATCTCTTACTGTGTCCTTATCCTCCTTTTCACAGTGCAACCATTGAGAGCACCGAAGCGACGAAGTCGAGAGTGAACAGAAGGTCGTGTATAGTGTACCGAAGAGGGCAGAAGCAGCTGACGAGGATGTTCCTCAGGGAGGCGGAACGTCTTCTGGAGCTGTCCGCGGAGGAGCAGACCTAAAATGACTTGCTTACCTGGGAGCCACACATCTCTAACCAGACTTGGTGTTGATCCGCTTTGGAGAACTACATTTGCCCCCATCCAAACTTTGGACAAATTTTGTTATCCTTGCATTGGGTTTTTCAGACCGAAAAATGGGATTACACTCACACAAAGAAAGTGTACACTAAATCCAACCTATATGCCAATAAATAGCTAGAATGTGACAGCTGCCAATAAAGCTCACTTTATTTAGTCCGATAATATGGCCAATGTCCTGATGTATTTCTGTTTTCCGTGGGATGATTGTCATCGAAGATGATGTCTTTTTCCAGCTCCTCCTAACCTTAGGGTGAGGCATATGATTTGTTTTATGATGAAGCTCATGCTGCGGACAAGTGGAGCCTCCTCATCTAGATACCGCCAAGATGATGCTAACGAACAAGAACCATCATCTCTCCATATGCCGCCAAGATGATACTAAGAAACAAGAATCATCATCTTGTCTAGATACTGCCAAGATGGTGCTAAGAATCAAGAACCAACATGGGCTAAGTATAATCAAGAGCCGGTCAGTTTCCTCTAATATCTCAATTGGCACTATGATAACCTGAAACTTGTAGATATGGTACGCAGAAGGGGATGTTTGGTAGAGAGGAGTTGCATTCTGATGGCCAGCTAAGTAAAAGCTGCATTATGATTCTTAGCTAAGTAATCTGCAAACATCTTGTGAAACATGCAATGGTATATATATAGCCCAACACTGAAGAAACTTAGCGAGAAAATAAAAGCATGTTGAAAGTGTGACATCAAAGTTACAAACCTCATGAAGTTATAAAAATGTGTTACACAACTCATGAGGGGTGGTAGTAACAATTATGCGGGAGATATAAATGAACCATTTG